TAAATAATCCATCAGTAGCGGCTAGTTGTGTCATTCAGGTTTCTGTCATATTTAGCCTATGCCTTACAGCTTGTAAACGTAAATATCTTTTAAATCAAAATCTGTAATATTACTAGTCTCCCTCGCATCCGTTTTTAGTGTCGGTCGTCATGCAACGCTCCCTCCCCACAAGAGGGTGGGGAGGGAGCTTTGCGTGACGACCGACACTAAAAACGGATGCGAGGGAGACTATAATATTACTGGCATTGATAAATTTTATCTTGAATCTTGAATCTCTAAACCCTTACCTTCATCAAACTCTACTTGCTTAGCCTTAAATTTAACAGCGACACCAATTTCTCTAAGTTCTCCAAAATTGTGTGTAGTTTCTTCGACAGCCTGAGTCTTGAATGTTATATAGTTTACAGTCTGGTTGGTTTGGGGCTGTGCCCTGTAGGTAACACCTAGGTCATTATTCAAGCAATAGAATCGTTGTATGCGAGCTATGACGTAAGTCTAAGCCAATCAAATATGTCTATTACTATCCGAACTGTTTCTTGTTTTTAACTCTTGGATACGCGTAGTTGTAAAAAATAAAAATCAATAACTTAAAACTGAATTTGAACTAATCAGAAACGAGGACAAATACCGTCTCAGCTAGTGGCCACAGCGAGACTAGAACTCATGAAGGAAACACAATAGAAATCATGACCATGAAGGAGGTTTTATATCTGATATAGATTCGTTCTCATTTGCATAAACTTTAACTTGTACTTTCTCTATCAAACTTGGTTCATTTCGTAAAGAATTCAGTATAATATGAGAACATACATCATCAGTTTTTTAAGCCGCTCAATAAACTCGCAGATCGTGCTTTATCGTGTTTTGGCTACGCCTCGTGTTTTTAAATTCTGATAAARCACTCCTATCACTCCTGCGAGTTTATTAAACAATCCATTGCGAGACCGACGCTATGACCACTCGACCATGCTGCCTCCCATACGCGAGTCTTAGATTTCGAATGTGCCACTCACTCGGCCACTAATAACGCAGCAAAATCAAAGGTAGTCCCAGTTAACTACGCTTCTGTGAGAATTTTACTAAAGGCGCTGAAATACGAGACACAAAAACGTCCAACTTGTCGCGCAACATTGTTGCGGTGCAAGTTTGAAAACAATGTTGCTCGTTTTACATCCTATCTATCCAACTTGTCACGCAACAAAATCTTTTGTCAACAAATCAACGAATTTATTTCTGCCGTGCTCTATAGTCCCCTCACAGTTCCTTCCTTCAATCTTCTCCTGATTGCTTCTAGCGTTCCTTTTGTATGCAACTCGCAAAGACCTAAATGACTTTTGATTGCGATGGATGCTTGCCAACACAAACATTGCACTTGCTATCAAAAACAAATGACTAGACAAGCGAAATAAATGACTAGACATAGAACCGCAAGGGTCTTCGTGTAATGAAAATCAACTTGATGTATAATATATATATTTAGGCACCACCCAAAAGCGGAGCTCCCGATACGAAATTAGGGAGCCAGGGAGCCCAAATTGAATGAATCTGAAAGGTAAAAAATAAGATCGGGAAAAAATCTTCAATTATTTTTATTCGAGATGAAGATAACGTATCCCATAATAAAAACCATGCATTGAAATCTAATCAAAATGCACTACATTTTTTTCTTTGCGTGAAAAAAAAAAAAACTTGAGAAATGAAGGCCCTGAACATTTAAAACCAAATGTGTCACCAGTTAAAAAAGCTTTCTTAATATCTTAATACTTCATTAAAATAATTTTATTCCTTTCTTTATAAGCCTTAGTTAACTACAACTTAACAGTTTTCATCTGTTTTCATGTGTGATAAAGATACGGAAATCACCAACGACAAAAGTTTTCGAAAAACAAAGTTTATATTCAGTTATTAAACTTGACAAGAACAACTGAGACAAAATAGAAAATAATGCAAAATCCAAAATGACTAATTTCTTTGTCAGTAAATTGGCAATTGTAAATGTTTTTGAATATTTTTTTAGCTTTTTAAAGTGAAAGACAAGGTCTTTATACAATAACATCTCTCAACAACACAAATTTA